AACAATACATTTTCGAGGAATGGACAGGACAAATGAACATAGGTTTTGAGTGTTCAATTCATGAAGAATCTAAACAGAATTTGAGCTTGGGGTAGTAAATTAAAGACATTTCTGTATACAGACTTCTCTGACTGAATTCTCTATTTTTGGCTATAAGGGTGTTCTTCTACCTCCATATTGACAGAGTTATTTCCTGTTTTCAGGGAGACAGAAAAGAGGGTCAGAATATCACTCCTGCAATGGCCTTTTCTTAAGTAACCTGAATACAAGGTAATCAGTATGTCACTGTGGCATATTTTGGGGCAATCTGCATTGAGACCCAACAGGTGAGATGCACAAGAGCCATTCTGTTGACACTTTCTGCCTTGAATTGGTAGAGCCAGATCCCAATGCACTAAAAGAGCATTTTCATTGGGTTATCTTGGGTAATTTGGCAAATTCTAAGACAGGGCTAGATTTTGGTGGGAAAGAAACAAATAAAAATAGACACGATTTAGATAGAAGGGAAACTGGAAAGGACTAAAAGAGTCGGTACATGACAAAATTCCAGGAACTTTGAGTTGCTTCCAGGTGGAAAAATGAAAAACCTCCACACCAAAATTAAATAATAAATGCTCTAACACGGAAAAGATACTTAATTTTACTTGCTAAAGCAAAATTTTGGTATTGTTCTGTCTGAGAGTGCTGCACTTCCCCTGACATATGCTGGATTTAAGAAAACATTCCTACATAGGAGGGTGATATTGTCTAGGTAAAAATATTAACTGCCATTCATGAAACACCCAATATTTGCCAGGATTCTGATGGGTGCTTTATACACAATACATACTTTCCAACAGTCATACAAGGTAGGGTTTATCAGATTCATTTGGCAGATGAAGAACTTGCAATGTTCTCATATTCACAAGGTGGTAAGTAACAGAGCTAGACTAGATTCCTGGTCTGAATTTCTCGAGGGCACACTCTTTTCTACCACTCCCGCCCTGAAGCTGACCTTGCGTGTTTTTACTCACTTTTCTTCTCTCTATTCTGGACTGTATCTCAGGTGATTGAAGGAACAATAAAAATAAAAAGCAGTGTGTGCCCAAAGTACTGGATTGAAATACATAGCCAGGGCAATAAGAAAACCAAAATAAGTGAGTGGTATAAATAATGAAAAGAAGGTTACTACCTGGTAACAATATGATCATTTACATGTGCAGTGTCAGTTAACCGTGAAAGATGGGGGTCTCACGAAATTATCAGGCTCAGCCCATTTCTGTAGTATGCAAGTCTCATAGAACAGAAGTTGTATTGGAAGCCAAGTCTGGGTGGTACAGAGAAGAAATAAATCAGCATGATTTTTGCTTTTTTCTCTGAAAGCTCAACTCCTATCTAAGTCCTCTCTACCTGGCACTTCAGCTTTCCTATCTTACATCATTCGTGAGACACAGACCCATTGCCCTTAAGACTCACAGTGGAGACAGTACTTAAGAGTTTGCATGGATGTGGCATTTACAAGGAAGCCATTCATTAAAGAGACAGGAGCTGAAACCAGACTCGGGTGTAGGACTACTGAGGAGAACACCCCCCGATCATTTAGAGAGTCCTGTAGGGACAACCCCGTACCGAGTCTTAGACCTGTGCCATCAGGCAGCTTCCTGCAAGGAAGGTCTCACGTAGGTGAGGACCTGGTTGAAAGGAGTGTAATTGAGAAGCTGATGTGAAACTGAGGGTGTCCTCCACTCCAGAACAGAGGGGGCGCCAGAGATCGAGGCGCTATCTATGGTGAGGCGCTCACTTCCTCCTAGGTCGTAGCTAGCGCTCACTTCCTGTTAGACGGCGAAGGACGAAGAGCGAGTGCCTCCGGCGGTGGCACAAGGCCTCAGGCCTGTGAGCGTTTCCAGGCTCCAGCAGGAACCGAGTCAAGGTGAGGAGCCCGAATAATGAATGGGAGACCCCCCACCAACCCCCCAACCTCCCCTGCCCCGCGCCGCCCGACGCCCCCCACGCCGTGCCTCACCCCCCACCTCGTGCCTCGCCCCCACCCGTGCCTCGCTCCCCACTCTGTGCCTTGCCCCGCCCCCTCCATGCCTCGGCCCCCCTTTCCGTGCCTCACAGGCCCCCTCCGTGCCTCACCCCGCCCCCTCTGTGCCTCGACCCCCCCCCCCCCACCTCCGTGCCTCACCCTCCCTCCCCGGTGCTTTCCACTCACAAAGCCCCGACGCTCTCGTGGAGGAAGATAACCCCTCAGAGGCTCTTTGGGAGGTGAGGACCTTGGTTGAAGTGGGTGGCCCCAGTTCAGAGGGGGAGGAAGACCCTAATAAGGGTCTGAGTGAGGAAACTCAGATAGAAAGTCCGAACAAGGCCCTGCTTGTTGTTCTCAGAGGACCCAAACATGGCGGCAGGTAGAGGCGAGCCTTCCTTTTCTATATGATAGATTAGGAACTAGACCACCTTGCCCTGAAGGAATTTGAGGACGGAACTCTGAGTGAGGTCTGAGAGGACCTCAACCCCAGAACAGTGAAGTGGCACGGGACTTGTGGTTCCATCAAGCTTGGGAAGACCCGGACAGGGCAATCAGGCAGACTACTTTGAGGAGGGTTTCTGAGATTGTGAGGGTGTTGGTTTTATAGGGGAGGGGCCTCAAGGTAGCAGACGAAAGCATTCTAGGGTGGCCAGGAGTTGGAATGAGGACCCTATGTGAGGACAGAGGGAATTCCTGCCCTGCTGGCAGCCTGGCGTGTCTTTGCAACTGGTGATGTGATGACGGACACTCCTTTTCTCTTACGGTATCGCGAGGATGGAATGGTGAAGGGAGAGGGGTCCGGGGGCGAGGCAGGAAGGCAGCACCTGGGGCAGGTGAAAGATTTTGTTTATAAGGGGTAGATTATTCCCCCACAGTAGAAGTATTTCCAGATCTTTCCAGGAGTTGTATGGGGGTACAAAAGAATCCATCCCCTATTCTCAACCGTAGAGACCATGGGGAAGTGGGGGGACCCTCATATGTTACTGGGTTGTTGGCTGGCAGGAAGACAGAAATCCCAGACCATGCAAAGGGTCAAAGGAAAGACTGAGAGGACTACCAATCATTGAATCAGTTCAGTTCAGTTGAGTGACTCAAGTCATGTCTGACTCTTTGTGACCCCATGGACTGCAGCATGCCAGGCTTCCCTGTCCAGCACCAACTCCCGGCACTTACTTAAACTCATGTCCATCGAATTGGTGATGCCATCCAACCATCTCATCATCTGTTGTCCCCCTTTCCTCCCGCCTTCAATATTTCCCAGCATCAGGGTCTTTTGCAGTGAGTCAGTACTTCGCACAAGGTGCCCAAAGTATTCAGCCTCAGCATCAGTCCTTCCAATGAATATTCAGGACTGATTTCCTTTAGGTTTGACTCATTTAATCTCCTTGCAGTCTAAGGGACTCTCAAGAGTCTTCTCCAACATCACAGTTCAAAAGCGTCAATTCTTTGGCGCTCAGCTTTCTTTATAGTCCAACTCTCACATCCATACATGACTACTGGAAAAACCATAGCTTTGACTAGATGGACCTTTGTCAGCAAAGTAGTGTCTCTGCTTTTTAATATGCTGTCTAGGTTGGTCATAGCTTTTCTTCCAAGGAGCAAGTGTCTTTTAATTTCACGGCTGCAGTCACCATCTGCAGTGATTTTGGAGCCCAAGAAAATAAAGTCTCTCCCTGTTTCCGTTGTTTCCCCATCTATTTGCCATGAAATGATGGGACTGGATGCCATGATCTTAGTTTTTTTAAATGTGGAGTTGTAAGCCAACTTTTTCACTCTCCTCTTTTACCAAGAGGCTCTTTAGTTCTTCTTCACTTTCTGCCATAAGGGTGGTGTCATCTACATATCTGAGGTTATTGATAGTTCTCACAGCAATCTTGATTCCAGGTTGTGTTTCATCCAGCCTGGCATTTCATATAAGTTAAATAAGCAGAGTGACAGTAGATCACAGAAAATCTCGGCCCCACGTTTTTCATTCCGAACTTGCAGGCTCAGGGCGGGACTGTCAGGCTGAGGCTGACAATCCACATCAAATCTGAGAGAGAAGAGTATGAGGTTAGTATGAAGTTGGAGCCACCGGTCAGCAGAGGGGAGGTATACCAGGTACCGCCTGGAGACTAGGTGAGCATCCTTAACGAGAACTGAGGACCCAAGCAGCCCCTGAAGGAGTGGGTCCCACGTAGCTCTCAGTTGGGTACCCTCTGACAGAGAGAAGGGCCAAGGAACCCCTCACTTCCTCCTCTGGGGTCTCAGGGAAGTGCTGACTTGGGTTTGAGGTGTCAGCTTCAAAGCATCAGAAAAGAGGAGGCTCAAGACCTGCCAACAATTGACTATATGACTATAATGACCCTGACTATAAACTGAGAATACCCTCAAACCCAGAACAGAGGCTCCTTACTGGCAGCCCCTGCTGTCACCCTAGTATACCCCTAGCAGGGTTGGCAGGCTACATTCTAAGGTTCTGATATCCTCCACAGTTTTCTCAGGGTACAGGCTGATCAAAACAGAAGCCTTGAGAGGTCCTAGATCAGTGTCCCCAAGGACCCTGCAGAGGTGGCCTTGATTAAAGCCAAGGTGGAATCTCCCTGCTGAGGTGCTTACAGCATCTTATTCTCCTTCCTCCAGGTGCCCACGTCTTCTGAGCTCCTGTCTACACTCCTTCCTGCTGTCCCTGACCATGCCTCGAAGGAAGAAGAGTAAGGCCCGTGGTGGTGATAAACCCCACGGTGATGAACAACCCCAAGGCAAGACCCAGAGTTGTGGGGGTGCTCAGGCCACAGCAGCAGCAGAAGAGGAGTCCACTACCTCCTCGCCTCAGTGTGAAGGTATTACCCAGAGTCTGCCTGGTGCTCAGTCACATAGCACTTCCCAGGAGCCTGAAAGAATACCGACCATCACCACTTCTGCAGTCTTTTCTTGCACTAGATCTAGTGAAGCATTCGATGGCCAATATGAGCATAGGGTGTTGGTCTATGAGGTCCCACCCTTCACTGAGCCCCCAGGAACTGACTGTTTAACCAGGAAAGCTAGCTTGTTGGAGCAGTACATTCTGCACAGGTATAAAATGAAGCAGCTCATCATGAAGGAAGACATACTGAAGATTATCCACCACAGCCACCATGACCGATTTGCTGAGATTCTCAAGAGAGCCTCTGAACGCATTGAGCTCATCTTTGCGATGGATCTGAAGGAAGTCGACTCAGTCGTTCCCTGCTATAATCTGATCAGCAAATTGAAACTCCCCAACAATGGGAGGGTGCGTGGTGGAAGGGGGTTACCCAAGACCGGTCTCCTGATGAATCTCCTGGCTATGATCTTCATGAAGGGCAACTGTGCTGCTGAGGAAGACATCTGGAAATCCCTGGGTACGATGCAAGTATATGCTGGAAGAAGGCACTTCATCTTTGGAGAGCCCAGAAAGCTCATCACCAAAGATTTAGTGAGGCTGAAGTACCTGGAGTACCGCCAGGTTGCCAACAGTGATCCTCCACGTTATGAGTTTCTCTGGGGCCCAAAAGCACATCTGGAAACCAGCAAGATGAAAGTCCTGGAATTTTTGGCAAAGGTCAATAATGCTGTTCCCACCGACTTCCCCACTTATTATGAAGAAGCTTTGCGAGATGAAGAGAAAGCCCAAGGTGTGGATGCAGCCAAGCCTGACACTACTATCAAAGTCAATACACCTCCCAGGGACACGCTCAATATTGTCTTCCCACCCATAGTGAAGCATGTGCTTTTTCCCCCCCAGACATGAAAATATAACATTACAATAGGGATTATATTCTTGGAAATGTGAAAGAATCCCATCGTAAAATAGTTAGGATGATGGAGTAGAAAAAAAGTAAAACATGATCAATGTTAGTTTTTCTTGTTCCTTTTAGTCTTTAGCTTTGTTATAGTACTTATTCTATACTCTGAGTTTCTTAGCTTCTTCAAGAAAGTAAGAGAAATTAAATGTTAATAAAGTAGACCTTGTGTTTATTGGCTCTTTTATTCGTCAAACGTTGAGAATCTGCTCTTGGGAAGGCTCAGTGCTAGTACTGGGGATGCTAATATAAAGAATATCCAGCCTCTACTCACAGAATTTTAGAGCTTATGAGTTACACTCATATGAGTAAGATACTGAAATATTCTCTGTGACTTACAGGTAAAGTAAAAAGAATGGTTGAAGTGGAGGGTATTCCTTATGATGGCCCTCCCTGCCTGGCTGCTCAATCACTTAAGTCATGTGCGACCCCATGGATGATAGCCCACCATGCCCCTCTGTACATGGGAATTTTCCAGAAAGAATACTGGAGTGGGCTGCAATGCCCTCCTCCTGGAATCTTCCCAACCCAGGGATTGAACCCATGTCTCCTGTGCCTCCTGCATTGCAGGAGGATTCTTTGCCACTGGGTGATGGCAGTTAAGTGTAAAGTTCCTGAGTAAGGCAGTTTGGGACTTGAGGAAACTATGAGTCCTCAGTGGAGTGTAGTTTTCATTTCTGTTGTGCGGTGGGCTAGTTGAGGTCCTGAAGTGGTGAGTAGAGGCCAAACCTTCCAACAGTTGATAGAAAAAACCCTGTATTAGTCTTCTCAGGCTGCTGTAACAATACCATAGATAAACAACAGACATTTCTTTTTCACAGTTACAGAAGTTGGGAAGTTCACAATCAATGTGCCAGTGGATTCTGTTCCCGATGAGAGCTCTCTTTCTGGCCGCCACCTCTCTGTCCTCACATGATGGAGAGAGAGAATTCTGGTCTCTCTTGCTCTTCTTCTAAGATAACTAATTGCATCATGGGTGCCCCATCCTCATGACCTCATCTAAACCTAATTATCTCCCTAAACTTTCACCTTCAAATACAATTGCATGGACATGGTGGGAAGGAGAAAACGGTTAGGGCTTCAACACATGAATTTTGTCAGGGACACGAACATCTAGTCTATAGTGGAAAACTGCTGCTACAAATTATTTTGGGATGTGGATAAACTAGAAAAATCTCTACCAGGGGCAGGAATGGAAGGTGTCCTTTGCTCTTGTTCTAGTGCAGATGAACACAGTGTGCAAACTAGGTGTTCTATGCACATCATTTCCAGGGAGTTTCTGAAAAATAATGGAGATGATCCCCTTAGGTGAGATGCCAAGAAGCTACTGTGCTGGCACTGTTTGCCCCAAACTGGGAGAGCCAGTGTCTGATCCATTATAAAGGCATTTTAACTAGGTTATCTTAAGTAGAGTTTGGCAAACTCTTGAAGGATAGCTTTTTTATGAGAGTGTAATGAATGTAAACAGAGCTGATTTGGATGCAAGGGCACCTGGAAGGGATGGCAGGGTTAATCTCCTAGATAGATGACATCTAGGAGCTTGAGCTGTACCCAGCTAGGGACAACAACTCCATACCTAAAGCAAATGATAAATGCTCAAATGGGTAAAGTTAGTTTTGCCAGCTAGAGAGACTTTTTGGTTGATTCAGTATTCTTTAAAATATTACATATTCTTTGAAACTTCCTGAATTAAAAAAAAAAAAATTCCAAGGGAGGTAAATGGTATCATCTGAGATCAAAATATTAATTACTGCTATTCTTTAAATATTGGGTGACATTTGCTGGTCCTCTTGCCATGTGATTTATATATGGTACATGCATTTCAACCATCTTACAAGGTAGGGCTTACCAAACTCAGCAGGTGAAGAACTCAAAGTTTTCTTAAGTTCACAAGACTGGTTATTAGCAGAGCTGGGAATAGACTCCTCATCTGAACTTGTCTACAGGCCATAGTGTTTCACTCCTCCCAGCCTGGGGCAGACCTGTCTCTTAATTCACTTTTCTTTGCACTATGTATCTCAAATAATAAAAAGGCACTTGAAGTTAAAGTGCTAAAGTCAAGTCTACTGAAGGGGAGAGTGAATATATGAGAAGAGATCAGTATGTGGGAACTGTCCCTGGGTTTCATCTTCCTAGGATCTGACCGAGAGCTAACTCTGTCCGGAAACTAGTATTTTGTTCAGCTCCAGTTCTTTCCAGCATTACAGCATCCTCTCCTCTCCTGACCCCAGACTTCCCCAGTGTGTCCTCCTTCCAGCTCTGGAACCTGACCTCCTGCTGACCAGCTCTTCTCTGCAGCCTCTTCTGAGGGCTACCCTCTGCTCTCAGTGGAGTTGACAGTCGATATCTTCTGCTGCCCTGCCCCCGACCCCCCCCCCACCCCCACCCCACCCCCACCCACCTTAGAGCATCTCAAATCCCTGGATGTCACTTCCTTTATCATGGATGTATACCATCTTTATTTTCCTATTTATGTGGTACTTTGGAGATCTTTATTTCTCTAATTGTCTCTCTGTATCACTGTGTCTGTCTTTGTCTCTCTCTTTTCATTATTTTTCAAATATTGACTCTTTTAATAGACGGTTTAAATAGCTTCTGAGTACATTTATGAATCACTTGTTTATACATTTATTGCTGTGTGTCAAGTTTGCAAATAGGAATTTTTATATTTTATGAATCAAAGTGGGACATCTTCATTCTTATTTTTTGATTCAGAATGGGTAACATGACATTGGAATAGGTGTTACTTTAGAAAAGTAAAGTAAGTCAGTAGAAAAATTGTTGGGATCAAGAAATAGAGCAAAATAAAGTAAAAGACTGTCACTTCCTATCTTCCTTATCTTTAGTCTGTTGTACAGTAAAAATTAAATGACACATACCTGCATTTGTTTGGCTTAGCTAAGAATTTAGGAGAAATTAAATCTTAATAAATTAGATAACATGCTCCCTGGCTCATTTATTCCCTTAACACTGATTGGGCATCTGCTCTTTGGAATACACTGTGTTATTTCTGGGTGCTAGGATCTGTGTGTCTAACAGCCATAATCTTATAGTGACGATGGTAAGATATTATGGTAAACCAGAGGGCAATTAAAGAGAGAGTGAGGGAGTTGAGGTCTAGATAAATGCAATGAAGTGGAAGTTAAGTTTAAATGCTCCAAGCTATGTCCACTTGGGAAACTGCAAGCTCTTCAGACTAAGGTTTAAGTTTAGTTATGTCGTGGGGAGTTTAGTGGGAGTGAGGAACAAAGGCCAGATCTTTGCATGATGTATCTCAGAATTGAGAGACTTAAGCTTGGAGCACAATGACACCTTTATCACTGGATATAATGATGCCTTTATCATTATGTAATTCCCTTCTTAATCCCTGATACCTTTCTGTGCTCTGAACTCTGCTCTGTCTGTAATTAGTACAGCCACTCCCACTTTATTTTGATTAATGTTACCAAGGTATTTTCTTCTCTGTTCCTTTACTTTAACCTGTGTGTCTTTGTATTTAAAGTGGGTTTCTTTCTTTAAATAACATATTGTTGGGGTTAGGTTTCTGGTCCACACTGATAATCTCTGCCTTTTAACTGGTGATTTTAGACTGTTGATATGCAAAGTAATTATTGATGTGATTGGATTAATATCTACCATATTTGTTACTGTTTTCTATTTGTGGCCTTTTTTCCCCCTCTTGTTTTTGTTTTATACTCTTTTTGCTCTGTTTGTGGTTTTTAGGCTAATTAGCTTGATTGGGGGAATCATTTCACAATGTACATGTATATCAATATCACACTTCACACCTTAAATATATATAATGTTTATTGGTCATTCATATTAATACCTCAATAAAACTGGAAAAATTAGTTGAGCTTTTATGTGATTCCAATTTCTATACTTTAGCGTATCAATTATTTTTAAAAGTTTTTTTTCATTAGTGGCCCACCTTCATTATAATGTTTGTTATTTTTGTTGCATATCAGTAAAGTCTGTTTCCAAAATTAACTGCCAGTAATAGATCATATTCAAGGGTGATATAACATTCATCTTGAACACTTTCAAATATTTAATAAGAATAATCTTGATCTCTTTCTTTAAATATTTTCCAAAAATTATTCCTTTTGATTCTGGTTTGTATGATGTCATTAATCTATTAAGTATACAGGCCCAAGTACAATTGTGATTAATCTTTATATTTTTCATTCTGTGCCCTTTTATGGTTTGCAACCTCAAGTCTACTCATAAAATATTTTTCTTCACAACATACACTATGTATTTTGGCTTTATTCCCAAGAAAGTCTTCCCATCCAAGTGTCTCTTACCTTGTCACTGTCAGCCAGTTGTGGTCTCTGTAGACTCGGTTTTGTTTGACACAGTTCTACTTTTAGTTTAGGTTACTTTCTAAGACAAGTGTGAAGCGTACCTTCTGTTCTTTTACATTCTCCCTAATATAAATATTAAAATTGTTATATTCAAAATAAAAGGACAAAATTTGCTCTTATTTTATCAGCATCTTAAATCTTCTCAGTTTGATGAATTATTTGAAGCATAAACATCAATTATGTTTCTTGTCATAAAACTATTAAGAATGGTTGACTCTCACCAGCATTGATCAATGAATATTAGATTCTCAGAGGCCTCTGATTTCATGATCAGCACCTGTTTTGGGTTCTATAAGATTTCCCAGCATCAGGGTCTTTTCTAATGAGTCAGCTCTTCACATCAGGTGGCCAAAGTATTGGAGTTTCAGCTTCAGCATCAGTCCTTCCAATGAATATTCAAGGTTGATTTCCATTAGGATGGACTGGTTGGATCTCCTTGCAGTCTAAGGGACTATCAAGAGTCTTCTCCAGCACCACAATTTGAAGG